GGCTCTTACTGCCAGGACCACCACAGCCTGGGTGTCAGTGCGGAGAAGAGCAAAGGAAACACCTTGGCTTCAGAAATCCAATCAAGAGCAGTTGTAACAACCATGAGAGATGGCCCCATTGCTGTAATTTATGCTTTTGAAAATCGCTTCCCACTAGATTACTAATTCCCAAACACACTGCGAACATTACTGAATGGAGAATCCCAGACTCTCTCACATAGGTGAAGACTCTGAATACAGCCAAGAAAAATTATACTTTTCTTGAGATATTTTCAATTCTTGAAAGTTACATGACTCTCATTTATCCTTACTGTGTATGAGTTCTGTCAATGGTAGAAAGATAAAAGAAATATTTGAGATTTTACAGACAGAAATCCAGCAAAGACTGATGCCAGCAAAGGTGTTTCCTCAGTTGAAGTGGGGCCTGAGGTGTTTACATGTGCTTGACAAGATGTTTAACTTTGCTATGACAGAAATGTTCTCTGCATATTTTATTCTGAAATAAAATAGCAGTTCTAACTGTGTTGTATTTTCCTCCCTAGGCGATTTATCTTCAGGGAAAATGTCTACAGGCACACTGAGGGTAAGCATTTGTTTAACGTCTTAACTCACTCTAGAGCCTCACGAGTTCCCAGTACTTTTATTAAGAGTTCCAACATGTGTGGTACTGTTACTAAAGCCATAATACTTCAGAGACCTTAAGGTAGACTGGACTTTCACTAATAATAACACTACTGATAATTATAATAAAGAAGCAATTGCCAAGGTTTGTGTTCACGGAGAGGAGTTTGAATAACAGCCTCACAGGCTCAAACCCAGTAAAGCAAATGTAGGAAGAAAAAAACATTTATTATACAATTAGCCTCTTGCTCTCTGGGATGTTTGTTTAATGCATGGTTTGAGAGTGGTAATACTGCTATTGTATCCTCCTGATAGGATTCATGGTGTGAAATCACCTGCAGTACAGAACAGAAGTGGACAAATGGGATTGGCTAACTGAGTGCCTTTCTTTCAGAGGCTGGAAAAGAGAGTAAAAAGGTGGTGAGTTTATCTGAGGAGGTTCAAGTGGAGAAGAGAGAAAAGAGGTGAGGATCCTTTCATTCTTCCCATCTCTAGGCAGAATATTCCCCCACAGCCCCTTCGGTAGCACTGTGCCCCTGGTACCCAGGCTAGTGCAGCAGCCTGCACTTCCACTGCCATTTTGTCCAAAGGGATGGGGAGGGTATTTTCTTTCAATCTTGGAGAAGTAGTAACGAGAGCATTTCCTTATCTAACTTGCACTAGCAGACCAGTATGTTATCTACATCTTCAAATCCAAAGGAGAAGGCGATGAAAACATTGGTCAAAGCAATCCATTCAATGCAAGGACTGAAGAGGATCTTTTTTGCAGAGTGAAGGTCAGAGGGATGTGTTTTCACAACTTTAAGAAAGCACGGGAAATAGTTTCTGTAAACTTGCCTGAAATTACAGTGAAAATGGATGAAAGATAAAGCACTTAAAAATGGGAATACTTTACCTTCTTCACTTACCAAGATCTTCTTTTCTAAAACTACGTAAGCAGCCAGGCCAAAATGAAAATAGGGTTTGACTGAATTGTTTGAGGGAGTTTTTAAATTTTTTTTAAATTTCATTTATAAAATAGGCATTAATACATTTATATATATATTTTTATATGTATATATAAAGAATAGTAAACAAAACTTGTTCTCTAAAACCATGCATGTAAAAAACAAATAAGTTTGTTTCTGTTTTTTCCTTTTATAGGACTGGGGCCTGGAAATTGTGTTTTCTCGGAAGACTTAGAAAGCAATTCACATTCCAAAAGCAGTTACAAGCTACGGGTTATCCTGCTTGTTTTTCAAGAAAATATGAAAAATACATTTTTAAATGGCAGAAATAATTTACCAGCACAAACCATTTAATTACCAGACAAGAGTCATAGGCTAGTAACACTGTTGTGAAGTCTGTAAAAGGACCTCGTGAAAAATGAAGCATTACATGGCTCATTTAGCTTACAGCTGTTCTGCATTCTCATTGAGTGGTATTCTGTGTCAAAGAATGACAGTTTTAATTTCCTTTGCTAGTTCCTCTGTTTAGATCACTTTGACGCAGATTATCGCTTTTACAAGAACATAGTCCAGCTGGAGGGCAAACATCTCTTCTAATAATTTTTCTTCTTTTTTCTGTTGTTCCTTCACTGTGTGCAGCAGCAGTGCAAAGCCAAGTTGTATAACTTGGACTTATAATAGCTAATTTGCTATTTTTAGACACTCAGGTATAAAATTTGGTCCCTAAATTACAGGGCTGTAATTTCAGCTTAGTCTCAAGAAAAGGATTTCATGAGGTAATAAATGAAAGAGTGACTGGATTAAGAAGTATCAAGAAAACATTTAAAGCATGGATTCAATTTCAGCGGATCTTAGGCATGTATTTCACCTTCTATGTGCATTTAATTATTGTCTTGAACAATGACTAAATGAAGCAGAATCTTCCCTGACCTTCCCTGATCCTACGGAGTCTGTGCTTACTGGAGCCTATGCTTATTTTACAGGTAATTACATTTAAGCGACTGGTGCGTCTGTTACAACACCTGTCGGGACAGCAAAATGTGGGGTGCTTAGCTAAAACAGGCACTATGAACAAACCATACTATTAGGTCTTAGCCTGCCTTAGCAAGAGGCCTGCTTGCAGGTTGCGGGAAAAGTACTGGCATTGATATCAGGTTGCAAGAATGTAAACTATTGAGATAATGGGAAGGAGTTCTTAGAGAAAGACAATGATTTCATATGCACGGACAGCACGTGGACAGTGCATACAAACCAATCATCTAGCAACATTTACTAAGTAGTAAGAAGTGTGTTTAACTATTGCAAACCAATTATGCAGCGACATGTACTTGTAGTTAACCAATAATGTAGTGACATGTATGTGTGTGAGAGTATAAAACAAATGTTGTAACATGTAATAAACGAGATCTGCCTATCGATCATATTGGTCTGCCTGCAGTTGCTTCATGCCCTCTCGGCCAACAGCAAAATCTGACCAAGGAGTTCCAACACCCATTCAAACTTCCACACCTGGCAGTGCATCCTCAACTGACCTCCTTTCACAAGGGTATTTTGGTAAGGATCCTACTCACTATGTGGTATCTCAGATCAGACTGCCCTGAAAAGGCCCTGTGCAACCAAGTTTCAAACTCTACACTGTTTCCTGCCCTCTTGTGCGGGGAGACTGTCCTGCATCCATCATCACTGACAGTCCTTCCCCTGAGAGGAAAAGAAAGGACCAACCTTCCATGGACTGCTGGTGTTTTTCCAGCAATACTAACAAAGACTGACTTCTCCAATGTAAGCATGACACAACACAATGAAGGATGCATCTGGCACTCAGGGTGATGTAACCATGTCTCTGCTGGGGTGCATCCACCATGCATCCCACATGAGGCAGGTGATGCTGCCAGTGGTTGACTCTTCATATAGTTCAGGGACAAAACCTTCCTCTGTCCCTGTGGCCTCCTTCCAAACCAATCACCAGGCACTCCCTGTCCTTTGCTGCCTCCACACACACCAAGTTCAAACCAAACACTTCCCTCTCTCTTCCTCTCCATAGAGGACTGTGTACCAGTCACAACTCTTACCTCCTGAGATGGTGGCACTGCTCTTTGCAAGGTAGTGGCTGTCAGGTCCAGCACTGTATTCAAGCTCCTGCAGAGGAGTCCTTGGTACCTTGAAGATACAACTTTCCTTTCACTGTTTTTTGGGTGTGCTGCAGCAGCACAGCCTTCAAGCTACGTTGAATCCTCCACTAAGATAGAAAAGCTGCAGACAGAGGGCTCAGGAGTAGAGGGCAGCCAGTCCACCTGGAAAAGGTGGATCGGATAAGGGAAGGTCTTTGAGATTCAAAACAGGAGATAAAAATCCCACTGCAGGAGATAGATGTAGAGACCACTTGCAACTGAGGGCTCCTAAAGCTGAAAGGAGACATTGGAAGGTGTAGTAGTAAGGATGCATTCAAGAGGTGACCCTCAAAGACCAGAGGGTTCATAAGAGGATGCAGAGCAAATTTTTAGCCACTCAGAGTATCAATCCTACCAACTATAGCTGTGGTGAGAAAGACATCGTGTCCTGACAGGAAACGTGTGCAATATAAAGACATTATCAGAGGCAAATGTCTGCAGCTTGTGAGACAGTTACTGTTTTGACTACAGAGGAAGAGAAAAACTTGAGCGTTTAAGTGAAGTGGGAGAAAGCATTTGAGAATTCCTCCTCTGTACAAGCACAGACATGTTTCGGTTTTTGCTTGGCCTCTCTTGAATGTCCAACTGCCAAGCTATCACACTTGTCTGTTGTGACATCCTCGGCTGTCACTCAATGCAACCGAAAGTGCGTGGTGGCTTCCCCAGAATGACGTGTCTTCCTCCCGCATATGCGTAACTGCACTGGGTCTTTGAGTCACTGGGAGATGCCTGCCCATCCACTGTCGTCTGCCCCTGGGCCATGAACACAGGGCATTTCCAAACAACTCAAAAGTTTTGTTTTTCCTGTGGAGGTTCTTGTTTCATTTCTTGTAACTGTGCCCCTGCCCATGGCTGTGCTGGGAGAGCAGGGCAGCTGCCACCTCAGCAAGGAACCCCCCCTCACACACACGTTATGCATGCAGAGCTCACAAGGCAGGCTGAGAGCAGTGACACTGGGGTGTGTGCTGCAGGTGGTCTGCATCATGCTGGGCCACCCATGCGGGGAGGACGATCCCCCTGAGAGGCATCAGAGGGGTACCAGGAGGCAGAAAGCCATGCTCTGGCTCTCAGCGAAATGCTGAAACAGTGCAAAATTAGAGAGAAGCTGCATGTTCTGCGTGTATAGCTCTTCTGCGCCTCACAGATGCCAAGACTTCCTTGCCCATACACGGAGAATTGCATGAAGGTTTATACTTATATTTTGGATACAGAGCTTAGGGCAAGCTGAGCCTTAATACCTCTTTACCATTAGAAACAACAGGCACATCTCAATCCAAAAATTACCAAAAGCATGTGAAATTTTTCCTTTTGGATACAAACAAATGCAGTGGATAAGGTATAATTTCACATGAAAATATCTTTTAAATTACTCAGGTTTCCCCTTGTATGTTTATTTTTTGCCTGCTATTTTTTACTTCAATGTAAAAAAAAAAAAGACATTAAAAATATTTTTTCTTGAGCATCCAATTTTAATATTTCTATTTAGCTAAGAAAGGTATCAGCCCAGTCCTTGCACATGTATTTCTGTACGATTCCTAAAGGACTAAAAGCCAAATTTCCTGAATTTATTTCAGTGGAATGACATTGGTAGAAAACTGAGTTACAAACAAGAAACGGATATTTCCTGCTGGGATGAATGTGCTTGAAGAAACAATTGTCTCCTTCTTCTAGAGATGATCCTACAAAACTAGCATAGGCTACCTGGAGAAAAAGAGGAGTCAGGGAGAGAGACCTGAGTTAAAATACTGTAGCTGACTCTGCCCAGGGTAATGCTCTGTCTTTTGCAAGAACTATAATTCCATGATGCAAAAAGTCATGCAAAAATTCCCTGATGCAAAAGTAAAAGTCAGGTCAGTTTTGTTTCACCAATTCATTTCACTTTCTAAATTATTCAGGAGAGGCTGTGCCATTGGACCTGCCAAAGAAATTCGATTTTGCAGTCTATTTAGGAAATCTGGGCTTCCCCTGACCACGTCTTTCTCCTTCTTCCCTTCAATTCTCTTTTGATTCTTTACTTCCCCCCAATCCTTTTCTATATTCTAATTCTGCCTCTCATCACCTTCTTTGTTTCATTACTCAGCCATTCTCAGCTCTCCTGCAAAATAACCTGAGTCTTGTGAAAACTATATTGAGGACAAGAGTGATAAAGACAAGCAATAAATAAGTTGTCAAAGTCTTCTGTATCAAAAAGTGCTCATTGCTGCTGCTGAGCTGTGAGACCCAAAAGAGATGGTAAGACATGTTCTGACTTGTCGCTGCCTGTCTGCCCTGCAAGGTTTTACAGCCTGGAAAGAACACCCTAATCCTCAGGTCTCTTTCCTGCGTAGCACCTACAGGTACAAAACAATCCTGTTGTAAAAGTCTGCCTTAATAGCATTTTGGGTTTTGAGGGCTTTTCCTTTCTTTCCTTTTGCTTCTCACTCTTCTGCTGTGAAAGGTGTCTGGGAACTTATTTGTTCTAATAGTGCATGGGATCATTCAGGTGGCAGGCACCCCTGGAGGTCATCTAGGCCACTCCCTTACTTAAATTCAAAGGGGGATCAAGTTGCGCATAGTCTCATCTGGTCAAGTTTTGCACAGCTCCAAGGATGGAGATTTGGCAGCCTCTGGGCACCACTGCAAAACATTTTTCTGGTTAGAAAATTTGTTCCATGGTTAGAAAGCACCTTCTCATTTGAAGAACACATTTCTATTCACAAGTAGGTTAGTCCTATCTGCTCACTGGCATCTTCTCTGGTATTTATACTGTCAATAAGAAGCATTCTTGGTCCCCTCTAAGGCTTTGTTTTGCTGGACTAAATACAGCACTCACTTTCAGCTTTCTTTCCAGCACAAAGCCCTCCATCCCTCTGACCACTCTGTGCACCCTTCAGTCTCAGTTCATGTTTGTTTAATGGAACGGTAAAAAGCATATGCAAAATTTAAATGAAATCCCAATAATCTCTTTGAATCAGGGCAGTAAGCTTCACTCTTTTCTGCTGGCTATTCCTCACCTGACCACTTTAAGATCACATTAGCAGCACACCCACCATATACAACAGTGTCCTTCCCTTCCACAGCTATCTCTATGCAACATACTTGCTGACATCACAGCACCCAGCTCATGAATTCCTTCCTCAACATGTACTTATTAGCACTCAGCAGTACTCTCTCCCTTTTAAGCAGCTCTAGGCATACCTAATCCCGGTTTCTCACAGCTCCCTTATCACTGCATCCTACAAGACTCCATGAAAAGGCTTAATTGAGATTCCCAGGAAGGAAATGCATATTTCCTTTATGCAGGAAATGGTTTCTCAAAGAGTCTATTGGTGTGACATAATCCAACTCTGTAAAGTTATGCTTCATTTTATCCTGTTCCCCTCCCAACTCCTATTTGCCTTCCATTCAAATTTTTTCTGAGCTTTGTATACTATGGCAGTCAACCACTGAAGACTCCCCCCACCATCTTTTTAACTAAGGGGTCTGTGTTTGATTTTTCTTCCTACCAGAGCTGTGCTGTCACGTGACAGTCCCTCCAAAATTCAGAGACACACTTTGTCTCACAATAATCCAGGAGTTTTCTGTAAAAAAAAAGGAGATATTTACTGTACTTGGAACACCATAAGGGCCAGAAAAATTATTAAATGCTTGAGATCCAAAATTACTTATAATTATCCCAAAAGCATGCAACAAGACACAAATAGAGCAATAGTTGGCAGTCTTTTCATAGCTGCGGAGGCAGAAATTTCTTCAACTATATCTCTGTTGTCAGAGCTAATGTGTTATGTTGTGGGGATCCAAAATGCTGCCATAGCTCTGCAGTTTTGTTTCTGGAGTTACTGGTTGGAAAAACAGTGATGAGGAGAGCTGAAATCATGAATGAGGAGTTAGCTACCAATAGAAGAGATTTCAATTTCCTTCTAATCCCTTTCTGTGCTGAGACATGTCTGGTTATCCCAGTTGTATTATCCTTTTCAACCACAATTCCCAGCAAGACAGTTATCAGCACTGCTTTGACAGTATCTGTAGCTAAAATAGTTTTGCAATATGGGGAATATCTACAAGATGCACTTTGTTGACCTCCTTTCAATTTTCTTGAACATTTCTTGAAGAGGCAAAAATCCCTTGGTACAAGAGGTGTCTTACAAGAAAATATTTTATCCTGAAGTCTCTACGAAATCTAAACAGTTTCACTTTCTAAGTTCAAATACAGTTGTAAACGAAATGCCTGATCCTCTGCAAAAAACATACTATGAAAGTCCTACATGTTGAGTGGAAATTCTGCAATTTCATCCTAGAAATTTAAACCAGACCCAACTCTTTCATTTGCTCAGTCTCTTACAAAAGCTTTATTAAAAAACTCAAACATATCACACAAGAAAAGACTTCCAACAACAATAACCTCAAACTTGTGTTGTAGCTCAATGGTAACAACACTAAGCTTAAAAACTACATTTTGTTGGCACTGATATTTAGGCAAAAAATGTTTAGGGAAAAACCGGTATCTGCATCACATGAATTGTCAAAAATTAAATTTATCAGTACTATGCACTAACTGTAATGAATCAAATGCAGAAGACTGGAAAGTTAGAAGTCAGCAGAGAGAAATGGCACAAACCATGTGTATGTGATTTATTATTTGTCATGGAAATAAACCGCATTATTTATGTAAAACTGACTATTTAGTATGCCTAAACATGGTGCTTTGTACCAGTATATTGCATGGGGTTTTTCTCCTGGTGTTCTCTTGCTCAGTCTGTGAAGCTCTTTCATTTATTTTCAGGAAATGTTTAACATATTCCTGCCAGGTTGCATAAAATTCTGCCCGAGAGGAAGGTAACTACATCTGCCAGCTTCACGTGCACCGAGAAATGTGTGCTGAAGCTAAAGGCTTCAGACAGCAAATCTGTAAAAAGCTTTGCCTCAGCAGAGCCCTGGTCCAGCTGACATCCTCATGTGTCCCAGTGCTGTGTGAGCCCAGCATCACCATCGGTGCCAACAGGATTACTCAGAAACACGAGGCTGAGTACCTGTTTGGTGTTCATCCACATCTAACAAAACACTGTGAAAGGAGCTGGGGAAATCAATATTGTAACAGAGACACTTATACAATTAGGAACAACTCCAGGCCATGTGAAGTGCCTGAGGCCATCATCTGGCTCCTTTCAGAGCCAAGGGTAAAACTTACATTAGAGACTACCCCTCTGCCAGGGCTTCTCCACTACAGAGTAGAGTGTGATCATAGTTGCTGTCTGTCCCACAGCAGGGAGAGGAGCTTTTAAAAAAATTTCCTCAAAGCTGAGCTCTGAGGTTCAGAAAAGAGTGAACAAACTGCCCATAAAAAATGGTACATTATATAGTAGGACAGATGGTAGAAGCCATTACCCATTTTTTTGGTCTTTCTTTTTACATACAAGACACTGCCTGTTTCATAATGAATTCAATAGAAATGTTGTCATTGAGTTCACCCTCTTACAAGTAAATTTAGCAGGCTTTTGAGAAAGTTTTAAAACAGCTTTCATCTGTGTGACATTAATCTTAACCTTCTGAGAAGTAAATATTTTCATAACCCCCCATGACTAGTTCTCTGCAATGATTTACAAATATTTTCTCAATAGGGACACAATAAGGAAGATACCAAACACCAAACAAAAAGTAATGGAATTCTAGAGAAGTTAAAGGAGCCCTCCAGGCATTTTTTTTGTCATCATCAGAAGCCAGGAAAGTCAGTTTTGTTTTACTGACTGTTTGCAGGCTTTTTATTCTGCAGAGGTTCTCAGTAGACCCAAGAGCATTGGGAGTTCTGGTTAAACCAAATGTTCAGACATCAACACTCCTTTTAAAAGCTCTGCTTTCGGGAGGTTAGGAGTCATGAACTTTGCAGTCTAAAGAGTCTTGCAACCTCATCACATTGCTTAGCAGAAAAAATTGTCAGCTGTGGACTTACCTATTCAGATGGCAAAGCATGCAGTGACAATAGTCTGTGATTGCAAAACTCTTCAGCATGACTCTCTTTGCTCTTCGCTCTTTCATTAGACAAGAGAAGTCCTGTCAAAATCAGTGGAGTTACAACAGTTTAAAACATGTGCAATGGCTTTCCATGGTCAAGGGGGTAAAGCTGACCAAAAAGACCACTCAGGGAATAATAATAATAATAATAAATGTCCAAAACACTGTCTGGAATTGAAAGCAGGTGGGGAGACAAAAGTCCTCATGAATTCAAATTGACTTCAGCTACTAGTTTTGTCTGCTAATAAAAAGTGATGACCACATCAATGTATTAAAACTTTCTCTTTTTTTTAATCTTTTTTTCAAGAGTATGCACTTCTTTGGAGGTGTGAGATGTGCATGTTGAGATGAGGTATAATATTTTTCATGCTCAACACTAAACCACAGTGATTTTTATTATTTGTTACTGATACTGTCCCAGGACTCAGGCATTGCACCTTGATCCTTCATACTGACACAAGTGTTTGGGCAGACAAACCATCACTCAGATCGCAGAAGAGATACTAATGAAAACTATTAAATTCTTTTGGTAGAATTTTCCAACTAAATGCCCTCCCCAGTCTGATATTATGGTTCCAGCACCAGCACTGACACACGTTTTGACACACATGTGACAAAAAGTGACTTGTGGCACAAGTCAGATTACAGACTGGCAGCGACACTCTTTTTGGTAGCATCTTTCCCAAATTTGTAGTCATTTGGTAGTATGTTCCCACTTCCCAGGAGTTAGCAGAGCTAACTCCTTTAGAGTTTTAAAGTGGATTTGAATAATAAATAAGTCTGGGGGCAGCACACCAATGTTTCCATATCAACTTGTAACAATTGCAGAACCACATGCTAAATGTTACGCAGAAAGCAGCAAATTTTACTAAATAGCCATTTGGCACCTAGGTTAAATGGGAGATTTAGCATGCAGTTGGCAACACTATAGCAGTCTCCATGGAATGTCTTCTATATGACTTTGAAAAAAATAGTAGAAAATCCAATTTTAGAAAGTGCTAATTTTACAAAATGTATAAAATATGCAAGTTCTCACCAGAAATTTTGCACAGACTATTGCAAACACAAAATGAAAATACTGCGAAATGAAACACAAAAGTTTTGTTTATCCTTTCTTAAAAATGCCTGTAATTCTGACCAAGGCCTTTGCTCTCTGTTCATGTTTACCAATATTTACTGTATTCACAGGGAATAAAGAGAATACTCTTTGCTGCCTTCATATAGAGATGTTTTGAAAGTCTAAGCACTTTCAAAGTGTTGACAAGTCCAGACAAGAAGTATCAGAAAAAAGTACACCATAAAAATTCCAAGATCTGAGCACTTGTAAGTAACAATGATGATCAAAGTAAGAGCAGAAGGGAGTGACAGTCGATGATGCTGAGCTGAAGTACAAAAGGACATACCCAACAAGTTCCTTCTCCACACCAAAACTGCCATTGTCCCACCAAAACTGCCATTGTCCCATGTAGCTTCAGGCACAGGGAAGGGCTGGAGGTTGGTTTCGTATCAAAGCAGTTGAACTTGACTGCTTCTGGTTTTTATTTTTAACTTTTGGTCTCGCATGTATTTTTAACATCAGCAGGGGAAACAGAGTACATTCTGCATTTTGAGTGAGCAATACTAGGGGACTTTACAAAGAGAAGCACCTGACCAGAGCAGCAGAGCTGTGGTGTTCCCCTGCCAGGCATGGGCAGAGCCCCTGCCAAGGAAGGGGTGTGCGAGAGCTGGTGTGTTGCATGATTTGCTTTTGCACTAGCCCATAAGAAACTCCAGGGAGAGGAGCTTTTCCCTCTCAGGAAGCAGGCATCTCTGCCAGGCAGCCAGGATCCTTTGCCAGGGAGGGTCTGACACCCAGTCCTCCCGGGTTTCACCATACAGACCAGCTCTTCGTTCCAAAAGGCAGTCCATGGAGAAAGTGAGGCCTTTACCCATGCTCAGGCTTACTCAACAGCTCTGAGGTCAGAGTGCTCCCTGAGAATCACTTTCTATTCCTGCCTAAGGTCTAAATTTCTTGTACTACATATTTGAGCAAACTTCCCCTGGAATCCCAGTCAACCCACCATGGTGGCACACAGGCTCCTGATCTCCTCTTTGTGACAAAAAAGCTTCAATTTAAGAAAAGGGATAGAAAAATATCTTAGCCAAGATTCTTAGGAGTTGGGGGACTTTCCTGTAAAGTAGTAAATCTGGGTTAATAATCCCTTTAAATAGGGAAGGGATATGATTCAACATTTCCCACATCCTGGTTGAGCAATCTAAACAAAAAGCATCAGACCACCTAATTTGCCATCTGAAGGAAAAACCTAGTTGGACCTAGATCGCTCAAATCCTCTGGTGATGGGATCAAAGCTTTTACAGCCAACCTGGCCCCAGGAAACTTTTGCTTCAATAACATCAGTGTGGAAGAGTGAACATTAAAGATCCAGCACAACCTACTAATGCTATTATAGTGTGCTGTTATGTGATTAGAAAGTGCTCCTGCTATAGTAAGTAGGTTCCTGTTCAAAAATTCAGTTTAGAACAGTAAAGGAGTTTGCTAGAACTCACCCAGAAAGGAAGAAAGACCCCAAACCCCCAATGCATAAGGCACTGAGCAGTGATATTCAGGTTTCTCAACAAGATTGCAAAGCCAAATATATGATCAAAGTGGTAAAAACCACAGCAGCTCCACTGCACCCTTGAGCTAGAAAACTTTAATAAAACCACACAGCACTTACTGCACAAGCATAGTGCATTTTGGTTTTCTAGTTACCCATCTGCTTAGACAAAAATTCCAAAACATATGAAGTACTATTGAAAAGTTACCTCCCAAAAGGAATGCACTGGAGCCTTGCATATGATTCTGACAAGGGAGTTACTTCTATCGGTGGCCCTGTTAAGCAGTACAACCATGTTACAGATTATGTAAAAGATAGTCCTCCAGCTGGGCAGTCTACATATCTCATTGTACTCAGACAGGATATAAATTACAAATACCCACACTCAGCATTATTTCCCTATTCTAAGCTCTGAGGTAGAAATAAAACTCCCTGAAGCATGAGAAATACTCTCTCTTGCATCATTATGCATACACTGGCAAAAATAACTGCTGATACCACCCAACTTCTGTTCTCAGTGAAGAGAGAAACTGGTGCTATCGAGGAAAAAACACAAAAATTTCATGAAGTGACTTGGGTTATGTGCAGGTAATTTACAATGTCACAGAAAGGCAATGACCAGAAAAAGAAATGAGGATGCACGGCTACACGTCAAACCAAGCAATCAAGTCTGGTAATGAGATTACGAGCACAAAAACATGGGTCATGAACAAGGGTAAACACATTTAGATCTACAGATATCTCATTTAGCAACACATGAACTTTTATATAAAAGTTGAATAGATCCTCTGTTTACTGAGCTGAACTAGACTTGGTATGCTTTCATGAGTGTGATTACAGATAAACATTGACACTCCTTCAGTTTCCTTTTGCATTGAGCAAGCTCCTTGGAGGGAGAACCCGCCTTTTGAATGCTTTGTAAAACACGATCTACATCTAATGTACTATGTTAAAAATGGCAAACAATAACGATAAATACTTACCCCATGCAGTACCTCCCATACACTCAGACTCCTCGCTGTGTTCTCTTTTCAGCTTCTTCATTTTCCCCCGTGACTTCCCCTCACTTTTCTGCTTCGTCATACAATTTCTTTGAATTTTCATCTTTTATGCTTAGAAAGAGAGCTCAAAGGGAACAAAGAGGTTCCTTGAACACAAGTGGAATTTACAATCAATTTATTTTTAAAGGGGGAAAGAGATTTTCTTTAGAAGTACAGCCCTACGAAATTCAAAACACAATACCCATCAAATGGGATCCTTGTCAAAACAGCATGTTGCCATAGTGGGTAATGCTCACAAATAAGCCAGATATAGCATGCAGGTTCTGTGAGAGTGTGCTTGTGAAAGACCAAAGGCCACTGGGGTATTTCTAACTCATCCAGTTCTCTGACCTGGTGCCTGATGTAGCCCCGTGAAAAAGTACCCACTACAGCACACACACTGCACTGTGATAGAGACAAAGCAACAGCTACTTTCATTCCGTAAGAAAAGTTTGTGGAATTGCCTCCTGACACCATTTATTGGTGCAGCCACAACAAGAAAGTGTTCCTAGTGCAAATCTAGTTTCACTGGCAAGTGTCACAATGTTCCGATTCCAGCATTAAAATGTCTGAAATCATTATGACTTGAAGAGGTGTCTACTTAAAGTGGCTTGCAGCATTCAGATATTCCCCAAGAACAGTTATCTTTATGACCTCTTTCTCCGAGGACTGCCCACCTGTCTGCCTGGAAGTTGACTAGAGAAGACCAGGGCATGATTTCTCTTCTTGAGATTAAGCAGATTAAGCTGAAAACCAGGATGTAATTTAAGGGTAAGCAAACATTTTTGCTTTAGACCTCTGATTTAGCTCAAGGCAAGGAAACCCATGGTATTTGCATATGATGCACTTGAGGAAGAAAAATTGTCTTATTACACATCCTAGTCTTGTTTAAAAATGATGCATGTTTTTCTTAAGGAAAGAAAAATTAGCGATCCCCAGAGTTTTTCACCAAAAAGTCCCCAAAGAGCTCTGCAGTTCCCTGGCAAACAACCAACAGAGAACCAAAGAACTTGCAAAGCCACAAAAGCAACAGGCTGTTAGTCAAGTGCTTCAGCGGTCTTTGGTGACACGCAGCTTGTCAAAGCAATGTTTGCTTATGAGAAACATGAACACAGGGTATTACTGACCTGTTCAACCTGTTCACTTCAAATACAGCACAGGGCAGCTTGGTTTAACACCACAAAGAACTCTGACATTCTTTACAAGATCTGTAGGAACTCAAGTTCCCTCATTTTAAGCTTTGAGGAATCCAACCAAAAATATGTCAGGGGAACTGGACATCAGCTTTCCAACCTCATTCAAGAAATTTGGAAATTATTTACTCAGCCATTGCCATGATCCCTCTTGAACAGTCTTTTGACAATTGGCATTTTTTCCCACACAAAATCTAACGCTTCTATAAAAGAACACCATATTTCCATTTGTATTTCTCCTATTACCCACAATACTATTTTAAGTCATTATTCCCCAATATGCATCAGTGGTTTGTCTTACTACTGTAGCATAGTGGAGATTATTAGAATGAGAAAGACAGTCAAACCAAACACACAAATCAAAGTGGAACATACTATAACCCTAGTAAAATAAAATACCTTATTTTTCTATCTAGGAATGCCATTTATGTAGCCATTTAGTTGACTCACAGCATTCAGCAAGCAGTGTCTCCTGCTGCTGTGTTTTACCTCGGCCCATGGTAGGGCTCCTTGCAGACATGTGCCTGACAGCCAACAGAAGAGGGGAGACAAGCTTTGACCATGACAGCTTTGCAGTTTGTTGAATTCTTTAGTGGCAGCACCATTTCCATGCTGTTGTCAATCACCTCTCCTGAAAACAGCCTCCTCTGTACAAATCTCCCAAGTTATCAGGAGTAAAAGCGGCATGGGTTTGCTCCTGGGCAGAGTAAGAATTCTAGAAGAAACAGAACCCATTCCAGAACAGGTCAATGAGTAGCACACTGATCCTAGAAAACAAGAGATTGACACATGGGATGATTCTGGATTGGCTTCCTGGCTATAAACTCACACTTGACTGCGATCAGGAACAATTTTCATGTGTGGACAGTCTGAGAGATTCTTTACAACATTCAGAACTGGATCCTTTGCTCCTACAGAAATGTACAGTAGTAATTTTCATACATTTCTCAGACAGAAGAAAAAGTTGGATAAACACTGAGAATTTCTGAAATCACACCTTAGGGAGGTTTTACATGTCAGAATGCAGCCATCTGGTTGATACTATAAATGCCAAGGAAAAAAATAACCTGCACAGTGAAATGAAGTGCAATAGAAATAAAAGGATGCAAGAACAGTAATCGGCAGCATTACAGAGGTGCTATGCAGGAAAGAAACTCCTCGGTATCTAGAAACTATGCCTTTGAGTCTCAGCAATACTACTCATGCATTTCAAGTACCAGGCAGATCTCCTGACCTGTATCTAACTCATGAGCAAGTGCTGTTTGTTCAGGGCTTAATACATTTTGAACAACGTGACTACTGATAAATCAGTGCAACTCACTGTAGTACAGTGTGGATTAATTGACCTCCTTTAAGCCCTCCACAAACTTTAACCATTATTATAGATAGATCAGCACAAAGTATTTCTATTATGTACAGGACCAATTAAATAAGTGATTTTCCATAAGAAACTGTCCCCAGCAATAGAAGAAGTATTTTAATGCTGTTGTGTAAATTCCAGTTCCTTCTTCCCTTGAATGCTACGCTTTGTCCTAGATTATCAAATGGAGTTTCTAAGGCATTAATGAGCAACTTCCACTGGAGCATGTAAGTATACTTTGTACTTCTGAAAAGTCACATGGACATTCATATAAAAAAGTAAACAAAACCCCAAAATGAGAAAATAATAACTGAAGGCTTAGAGCCTTTTATATGAGGAACAACAGATGAAATTTGTTTTTATTTCACTCTTAAAATGACAAGACTCAATTACAGAATGCCTGCTGAAAAAAATTTATTAAGGAAACACAGCCTTCTACCAAGTTTTGGTCATTTTAAGAGTAGCATTTTCACTTCAGTTAGGTAAAGGAAAAGTTTGACTGTCTGCAGAGAACAGCCTATGAGTCGCCTGGCAGTGGAAGGAAATTCCTCTCTGAGGCATGTACATCCATATGGCTATTGCAAATGGAAAAAGAGGTAGGCAGGAGTTCCTTCCCTGCTGTACCTGACTCTGATGGTCATTAGAACACAAATACCAGGCACTGAGCTCATCTGCTCTGGCTGTTTTAATCCTTTTGTACAGTTGCAATAGGATCTTTTGATTGATACTAGTCAAATATACTGTTAGTGGTATGCTTTCTTCCATGCCTAACTCCACAGACCCGGTAAGGGAGAGCTAACATTACAGTAGATACTGTTCTGGGAATATCCCCTCTGCTGTGCTCAGGGACCTGGGCAGAGATGGACTGCTGCTGTTGAAAGCTGCTCTCTCACACTTGTGTTCCAGCTCTACTATCTCTCCACTGGGCAAAATTACTGCAGTTCCCTTTCTGTTACTGTCAGAACGAGACTTGAAATAAAAAACAGTAGTAGCCTGCTTCTTTCCTGAGGTTCTCTATCCAAGCTATTTTTAGAAATGAATTAGAAGTATCTCGGTTTTTTTTAAAGGGAGAATCCAAATGAAGACACGCAAGTTCAGTCACTGTATTGTCTATCACCTCTCTTACGCCCCATGTTCTGTTCTCCTCACTCTGCACCCTGGGAAGTCAGCACTTCCCAAAGCAGAATCAGGTCTCACTCTGGTCTTCATTGTGTGAGAAAACAGAACTGATTTCATATTAACACACACACACAAAAAAAAAAAAAAAGGAAAGAAAAAGGTCAATTTGGCCAAAATCAGTTCAAGACATTCCAAAAGTTCAATGTCAGCATGCCTTGCCCAGTTTGACTCAGTCTGCATTCTACAAGATTGATCTAAACAGGCACACTTGCCCTGGGTGAAGAGTCCCTGTGAAAGGTTAAAATTCCTGCAACACTGACCAGGTAGGCAGAAAAAGATAAGGCAGCAGATAACAGGGAACTTCATGGCATTTCCTGCAGCCACCCTCCTGCTGGAACTGTAGGAGCTGGTTTTGGTCCACTTAAAGTGTATGAATGTGATGTATTTAATCTACCCATATGTAGTTCACAGGGGAAGAGGCAACTTACAACTTGTACATACCCTGCACCTAAAGAGGGGCGTTTAGTTTCACATATATATATATATTATAAAAATAGCTGAAATACAAAGATAAATATACATCGTACAAATTCATAAAACCCTAAACCATACAGTTTAAATATGTTTATTTAAATATATAAATATATTTATTAAAACGTTAAAATTTAAATTTTAAAATGTTGAAATACCAGAAAGTATATAGCATGTGTAGTGCATGCATGTAAACAGGTAGGGGAGTACGTATGATTTCCAAGTACGTATGATTTCCAAGTACGTATGATTTCCAAGCCTTTCTGCGCGGCTGGAGCTGGCAGGCTCAGAGGCAGCTGGAGCGGAGGGAGCTCCAGCTCTGGCCCCGGCCGAGACCCCGCGGGGTCAGGTGAGCCGGCGGTGTGTGCGGGGGGCAGCCCGGCCCTCAAGGAATTACGGAGCAGGATTACTTCATGTTCCCACCGGCCCCGTTTCACAATCCCGCTCTCCAACAGTGTCAAGCCGGCACGCTCCTTCAAGCACACACACCCCCCCCCTCCTCCCTCTCCGTGTTCTCATGCCGGATTTTCCCAGGCCATGAATAATCTCGAAGCCCCCACGATAAATACACGTTCAGGGATGCCCGGAGCTCATTCAACCCGCCAGCCTCGCCGACGAGAAGGGGCCGGAGCCGAGAAGCCGCCGCGATGAAGTTTGCCCCGAGCCGTGGCTGCGGCCGTGCCCGCTCCGCCCGCCGCCAGCCCGCGCTGCCGCTGCTGCTGCCGCTGCTGCTGCTGCCTCTGCTGCTGCTGCCGCGGTCCGCCGCCGTCCCGCTGCCCGGCGCCGCAGACTCCTCGGGGGAGGCCGAGCCGGAGGAGGCGGTGGCGCGGCGGGAGGCGCTGCCCCTCAGCCTGCGGCTGGCGCAGCTGCTGCGCGACCGGGCGGCTCAGCTGCAGCACGAGGTGGGTACGGGCGGCCCGCGGGCTCGCACCCCGCACACACCCGGCCAGGGTCGGGGGGAAAAGCTGCCTCCGGCCAAGGTGCGACCGAAACTTCTTGGTGTCTCTCCCCAGATGTGCGAGAAGTTCACCGTCTGCGAGAACAGCATGGAAATGCTCCTCCAGAACAACCTCAACCTCCCCAGAGTGACGGAGGAAGACGGGTGTCTGCACGCCGGCTTCGATGAGGCAAGGAACTCCTTTCTGGTCTAAGCCTATGTGCCTGGGGCAACTTTTGCCTGCTTAAAAAAATGTGGAAGTTGACCTAAAGATCTGTGCCGGCTCCAGCTGGCTTTGGCCAGACCTCCACAATCTATAAGCATCATCTGCTAACCTGCACACAGCATTGCGATCAAGGCATTTTGAACTGTAAGTGACTTTCTCACCTTTCTCTCATTTCAGGATAAATGCTTGAGAAAAATCTCCAGCGGGCTTTATACATTTCAGACATACCTCAAATATGTACAAGAAACTTTTACTAGCGAAAACCAAAACGTTGAATCGCTATCCTATAGTACAGAGCACCTGGCACATACCATAAGACAGATGGTGAGTTGGTTTTAAATTCACTCTGATAATTGTTATGGCTTAATACTGATGTGCAGTCAGAGATACAGGATGCTATGTGAAGCTGAACATTTCCCCCTGAAACAACAGGTGACAGTTCCTTATGCTCAGATCTTATCCCCATGACTAATGTTGAGGTTTTACAAAGTTTTGGTTTCTTTTCTTAAAGAACAACTCTTCTTCCTACTTTCTATTGTTATTTCTAATTTCCAAACCAATTAAATGCATCAAAAAAAGTGCAAATACATTTTTACAGTAGTATTGATCTTTAAAACTTTCCAAAACAAACTTTTAAGCCAAGCTGTATGGTATATTGAGATATCTATCAGTAGCTTAAAAATCAAGGAAGATAGCTGCCTATTAAAAAGCACATATTTTGCTTGTAATGATCATGAGAAAAAAAAACTTTGACAAATACTGTTTTGATTTGGCAAACTAAATGCTGACAGACATTTTCCATGCTTTGGAGAGCTCTGAAAGATCACACTTCAAAAATTCACTTATTTCCTGTAGTTCTTGCTCACATTAATAATCCTTAAAATGAATATTTCCTTTGTCATTGGGGAACCTATTTGCCCAAGTAAAAATCATCCACATAAGGACTGCAGAAGTTTTGGGGAATTATTTCCTTCAAGGTGCTTTTTGGCACGTGAAAAGGCCATTGTTTGTTTCCCATACATTTCCTAACATACTGATTTATGTACATCATTCTTTAAAGTGAAAGGAAGCTGAACTGCTTTTTTTCACAGTGTTAGCTGAGAATAATAGCCCCATCATAAGACAGCAACTGACTACTGGCTTCCAACTTGATATATTAGTTTGCAGAAAGTTTGTTTCATAACTGAGGGAGATTAGGGTTTGGATTTTTTTGAAAATTAGTAGAATCAATGTAATCAAACAGGCAGAATTAAACACAGTGATCAAAAGCAAAACCTCTACTTGTAGAAACTATAGAGGTTTTGAGAAAAAGTCTTGATCTTCAAGTTGGAAGTTTTTCTTTATGAGAGAAAAATCTGCTATTTAAGGAAAGGAGAGCAAGACAGAATCTGTCACTTGTGGTTAGATAGATCCACCAGTACAGTACCTGTCTGGATATCCAAACACAAACTTTTACAGAGTGCAACAAGGAGCTGGGTATACCAGTAACAGGGAATGTGATCAGAATCCACTTCCAAGTAGTTTGGACACAAGGAATATGTTTTTATATTTCACACACACAAAAAACAGATATGCCAGAAGGAGGCTTGCATAATAAAAAAGTTCATAACTACTTTTACTCATCTTGTAGTTGTGCTCCCACACATCAGTGAAAGTTGGCGGCACTCAGTCTCCTCTGTGACTAAATGCCTGGAAAGCAAGAATTAAGCAACTAAAGTTTGACATCTTTGGAAACTATTGATCTACTATAAAACGTGAGAGTCTTTACTCCCAATTTCAGTTTATGTGACTCAGGAAGGAGCAACCAGTACAGGTTAGAACAAACCATGATCAGCACCTTCCCACCTCCCCACGGGACTGTCAGACAGCAGGAGGGTGTGTTGATTCTGCTCAGTGCAGAGTGTTGGACCGCACAATGCCAGACATTGCATTCAAACCAGAGCAAACAGTATAGATCAGAGATTCTTACACAGGAATCATAGCAGGCATCAGCATTCCTCAAACCCCCCCACTGAAGCACAGTTGCATAGAAGCAGAGCTCCCAGGGAGAACTGTTGCCTGCAGTACAGAAAGGGTGGATACGCAGCTGGTTGGGAACACACAAAGTGATGCTCTCCCATAAGCTCAATTACAATTTAACCAGGATCCCCCCAATATTGTCTTTTTCATAGGTGATCAATCCCGAAGAAGTGATCGTCCCAGATGCAGATACCCAGGAATCCCTCCGTGCAAAGCTGAAGTCCAGTAAGACCTGGATTGAGAAAATCACCACCCACCTCATCCTCCGAGACTTTACTTCATTTATGGAGAAAACAGTGAGGGCTGTGCGCTATTTGAAAAATACCAGGAGTTTCAGTGCCTAAATGTTTTAGTTCAGGCACAATCCTTCGTTACACATCTGTCATGTGGCAGATGACAGTGTTGTTCTGTTTTAAGAACCAGAAAAAGTAACAGTGGTTTGCATTTATATACATTCCTATTTCCTTCTAGGAAGTTATTTATTGTATTTAAAATATTTATTAGTTTCTAATGTTTCTTATTTATATTTTCAATATTTACAAATAATTTAAGCAAAGGACATATTTTATTTACCTTTATACTGGTACTATTCAGAATACCAACCTATTTAATATGTACTCAACAAAAAAATATTTTCAGAACCCAGAAAAATTGTTGTCTACCTTATGTTTTTAAACTATTTGAAAGATGGTATTTATGACTTATTTATATTTTTAAAACAAATAAAAGCTGATTTTAAAAAAAACCCTGTATAACCCGTGTGAACTTTAAATAAGACTAAGGCACTCTAATAAATTCAGTTTTTAATGCCTGCAATTATCAGAATAACCACTTTCAAGAATTTATCTGTGTTAATTAGTTCAGTTACCTACATAGCACCTATGTACACACATATACAGACAACTTGGTCAACATATAACTCATAAAATTGGATATAAAGGAACCAGATGTACCGCACACAGAACTTAAGAATGAGCACGATAAACTAAAACATTGTTCCTGAGAAACAAAAGAACAATAACTCCACTACATTCAATAAGGAAAAGTCCATAAAACAGTAATTGTTTGGAAGGATCTTCTTACAAGTTTAACAATCTCTTTTAAATAAATAAAATGGTGAGACTTTGACATGAATACTATCTTTTGATTAGTTTTACTGCTGTCATCCAAGGGAGTTTTCCAAGTTTGATTAAACAGTTCTCCCTTCTCTCCCAAGAAGCAGAAAAAAAAATCTTAGGTTCTTTCCTTAGGTGATATAAATCAGCATATTGCTGCTGAGATGTCAATGACCATGGATGACACAATGCATTTGTCTTTTATCATTTATATTCCACTAGCATGGACAGGCCACAAACCATGAATGCATATTCTTGAATACTGTAGAGAAAAAAAAAAAAAACAAACAACAAACCAAAACCAAAACCTAAGCTTGAGTATCAAACTGCTGAAACTTTCCTTAGCTGCATCACTTGCAGCACTGGAGCTGTGCAGGTACCAGGTACACCCAAACTTTGAGGAATTCACAGGCCACACAAGGGATGCAGGCAGCAGAAGTCCCTCGAGCTTTGTCTCTAAAATTCATAGAATATTAATTACCCTCTCTCTTTCTTCCAGTACAGCAGTGAAGATGAAAGGTATGCCCTGGAATGTGGATAAGGATGTCAGTAAATTCTCCTCTTCCTCTGTGCGATCTGATTGTCCACATATGCATTCCACCACTGGGGATGCCAAAACAGTGACAAGTCCACCCACTGTCCACATTTCAGATGCTCTAAACAAACAAAACCACTGCTTTGCCCAATATGGTAAAACTGTCGTCTTAAGTTGTGTAACATCTTGAGAAAGAATGAGGAGACCTCAAGGTGGTCACTTTAAAGATGTTTGTGGTGAATGATTTTTCCCACAGCACGTAAGATCCTGCTTTAGCTATCCTGGCATGTGCTGGGAAACATAGGAAAGCCTGGTTTGGCTTTTTCACTGCTTCCTTTCAGAGAGATTTTTTTTCAGTGACCATTTGGTTAGTGATCATTCTGGCCCTTATTATCACAATAATGGCTATGAAACCCAAATGTGGATCCTGCACTGGACCTTATTACTATGAGAGAACAGAGAGGAAAAAAGAAAAAAAAAGGCTGACCAAAAAGAAAGGCATTTTCTGGTTTCACCTCTACCCCAGTAGAGATCGCCGTTAATTACTATGTACACTGGAGTAAAACAAACTTGCACTGATCTCCTTAAAGACCAGAAAGCATCTATGAATCGAGGTACTGAAATCCCTTGCAATTGATAGACAAGTACCCACACCTCCAGCACTCTGCAGCTGGCAGCCACCCCGCATGGTCTGCAAGTAGAGCAGAGATCTAAATGCTGCCACATTTTAGGATGTAGAAGATGAGCAAAGATTACCACCTGTTTGGTGGGAAGGCCAACTTTCAAGCCCTTCCTGGAGCAAAGGATGTCACTGGTGCTGCTGTTGAGCTGCCATTATTTTACATGTGGCTCCTCCACAGTCACCTGCAGTTCTCAGAGTACTTCAGTGCAGCAGCTGCTTTGCTGGCCATCACTGCTGTTACAGTGCCAACTTCAGGGACTGCCGCCAGGATAAAAACACTGCTTGCTGAAACCAACGCTCACTGGCGCTTGTGCTACAGGAAGATTTGCACTGGGGAATTCAGACGGAAGTCAAAGGAGACCTAAACCTTGTTGATGTTACTGGGCTTCTTAGACGACACAACTAGTCGTCCTTTATCCAGTTTGCTGTGCAGGAAGTATTCGTCAACAATCAAAAAACACACACAGGCATTTATTTTAGTTGGCAGACCAGTACAGACACATAAAAAAACAGAACAAGAGTAAAAATGAGCATTCCTAACTAGATTTAGTCACAATGAAATACCCCAACACTTCAACAGAAGAGCGCTCCTCCTAAGTGACTCACGGAGCAAGGCAAAAAAAAACCCTAAAAAACAAAACAATGACAAAACCCCCCAAACCAACCCAAACAAAAAAAGACCTGCTAATGATTACCTAAAAAATTAGGAAATTACCCCACAAAAGCAGCATTCTGGTTGCTGCTGTACAGGACCAGCTTTGCCCTGCAGATCCCTGCTAGCCCTTCCCCTTCCACTGCATCCCTATTCAGTAACCCCATACTGAGATTCTGGAATGCTGAACAGATTACCAGCTCCCTTCATCCTGATTTTGAAATCCCAATGCAGGAAGAAGGTAAAGCTATGTTGAAAAGTATGCATACACTCTATGCAAGAAAAAACCCACAGTATTAAGAAACAGTGTTAGCAATGCTGCCATAACACTAGAATGCTGGACAAGGGAGAGAAAAAAACCTCAAACAACCAAAATAACAACAAAAAATTAAAAAGACAGAATGCAACCTAATATTAAAGTCATCTGTAATAAAAAAAATACTTTTTTTCCAATTATAGACTCTGAAGTATCATTTTTCAATTTTTTTTACCATGCTTTTTCTGTGTAAGAAACTTCTAAGAAAAAAAAAGTGAAAACATTTCAGCCTGACCGACTTCCCAGGTTGCAGTACCATCCCCTACCCAGTAAGCTCATGTACTGCCGTAAACACCAAATTTTGGCAGAAAGAACAACAGCTACTTGAAAGACTGCCTGCATGTCTAATACCTTCACAGATTTCATTAACAGATGATGGTGAGATTAGCAACACCAAACTGATTCTACAAGAAATGGAAGAGTTATGCCACCAGTAAAGCATGAGAGCAGGAACACTTTTCTGCAGTAATGAGCCATTAGGCTGGCTTAGCTTGATGGGAAACTTCCCCCTAAGTTTGCCACTGTTATTTGTGACTAATAATCTTTTCCACAGTCAATTTAAAAGATAAAATGGTTGAAATTTAGGTATGCAGTGGTATATATCAAAATCACATCCTAATGGTCAAGAGGTGCTGCCAAATATATATATATCTATCTACATATACTATATAACTAGTATAAATGTAACTACAAACTTTGTGATATTGGTGGGAAGCTTTCTGTAAATCCTTGCTTCTCAAGTCAAATGACTAGACAACAATTTCTTACTCCTTGATAAGAGGAAAACCAAAACCCACCCCCTTGCTCCCCAAATATGCAACCTCTGCAGGTTTCAACACTGAAGTACCATTTTCTCCCTGAACTCCTAGCAAAATAAACTAATTCCTGTAATCTAAACATATTTAACCAAATCTTGGCATATTTTCAAGACTGATCTCGGCAGTCATTAGAAAACATGATAAAGACATTTTGCAATCTGAATTTCTATTCAGTGACCAGAATCTAAGAAGATTCAATCTTTTATGAGAAAACTCATTTTTAAAAAATTTACACATTCATTTTCAGAATCAGAACACTGAGATTTGATTTGCCTTGCCAAAATACCCTTTTCCACTTAGCAGATACCTTTTTAGAAAATACCCTTTTGCACTTAGCAGATAAGCATTACCTCCATCTCACCCATTCTCTAATCCTGAATATAAAGCATAACCAGGAAACAATGCATATAACCCACAAGCTTAACCAAGACATGGCTATTGCATCACACACCATCATGGAAAAGTATTTAGAAATTCCAATTAAGTGGTTATTTGTAAAAATTAGATTAGTCATATGACAGGATGTGATCTCTACTTCTGTGGTGAAAACTGATGTAATGTAATTTCCAAATATCATCAGTATCATCATAGCTTAAATTCCAAGCCTGTAACAAAATATTTCAAAAAATATTTCAAAAAAATATCCAGGGTATATGTTTTGGTTTAGCATTTTTTCCTGATAAAAACCAGTATGTTAGATCTCTGTTTCACTTACAATGCAAGAAGACTAGATCTTAAGCAGCACTCTGTCACCTACAGCCCTTTTGGAAGGCAGACGTACAAAGCAGCAAAGGATGGGTTTTATACGTCACCAGCACTGGGACCTCTTGTGACAAAACTCAGAATGTTGCTTTGGTCTGCATTGTTTATGTGTTTAAAAGTTAGAGTTTAAGCTAATAGGAGTTTTGCTCATGAGTTAATTCATGAAAAAAAGGAGATAGCCTCTGTTTTATAACTGATAACAGTACAGTTACTTTGTACAATCCACATCTACAACAGGAATTTGTAGCAGAAGGAAATACCTGTTTCAAATTTCCTATCACCTTAACTTTGCCTCACAGTTGGCCATCTTTGAAGAGTTGTTAGCAAACATGCAGGTTCCTTTGTAGATTAACTTATTAAGAACAAATTTATACTGAAATCCAGATTTGTTTTTTCTCCTTTGTTTAGTGACGACACTACACTGACTGTTTTTTTACCAGGAGATCCACAGGTCAAACACCAAGACCAAGAAAACCACCAAATTCAAGACTCCCTCAGCATCACACACCAAGTACCACAGGAGCCCCACAGGGCTCTGTG